ACACATCAGATGTTGTATATTTCTGATTAGGATTAAAACGTATTTCAGGTTCAGGTTGTTTTGTGTTGAAGCTACAGGAAGCCACCTCAGAGGGTCTGAGGGGCCACGTGTGGCCCCAGAGCCACAGATAGAGGACCCCTGTCCTCACAAAGACACAAAGGCTCTATGGTCTCAACTTCAGTCACCCACCAATCAGAGCGTGCAGTCAGGCTGAGGCCACGCCCACTCCCACTATAACAGGACCAGGAGCTGCAGCAGGAATCACAGAAGCTTGAGATCCAGAAAACAGAACCTGCAGAGATTCCTGATGGTGGTGGAGGACAGAAGCCGTGTGGAGGTGATGGAGGGAAACCAGCAGAGGGTGGAGGTGAACATCCTGCTGCTGGGGGGACGAAGCGTCGGAAAGACGGGTGAGAAAATTTTGAACATTTAAAATGTTAGGTTCTATAAAAGAAAACAATGCAGGCATGAGCAGTTGAAGCTGGTTAAACTAACATTTTATTCTAATTACAGAAAGACTTTAAATTCAGCAGAGTACAGAAAAAACATTCATTAGTTATAAAGTTAATTTGATGAATTTATTTGAATGAAATATTCTAACATTTCAATAAATACAAATGATTACTAGTGAATGTCTTCATAGAGAACAAAAGAGGTCATTTATTTTTGTTTCTTTGTGCAGCTCTGACTGTCAGATTTCTGACCAGAAGGTTTATAGGAGAATATGGAGATATCGGTGAGTGTGTGCATGTGTGAGTGTGTGTGGTGTGGTGTCATGTGCTTTGGTCTGAACATCTCCTGAATGTGTCTGGTTTTTAGAGTCGATCTACAGTCGAGTCGACAGAATCGATGGTCAGGAGACCTGCATCAACATCTGGGACTCTCTGGTACGCTCACCTGAGTCATCTGGCAAGTTTGCTGATGACTGAGGAATGACACAAGTTTATTTAAAAGGATAGATTGGTTCTGGATGAAATGACTCCGCCTCCTGCTGTTGGGGAAAAGTGAAGCCAGGAGATACAGGAGCTGCCATGTTGCCAGGAGCGGGGCTGTCCCCTATGATGTTGAAGTTTTTTTTTTCTTCTTTCAGGCCGGATTGAACAGCAGCTCCATCAGCGACAAACAGCTGCAGTGGGCCGACGGGACCATCCTCGTCTACGACATCTGTGACCGTGGCAGCTTTGAGGCGGTTCGGCAGCAGCTGCAGCTGATTCGCCGTGGCAGGAAACCATCATCTGTTCCCGTCGTCATCGTAGGGAACAAGCGTGACCTGCAGCAACATCGCAGAGTCTCTGGTGAAGAGGGTCGGCTGCTCGCTCTGACAGAGAGATGTGGGTTCTTTGAAGTGTCGGCGGCTGAGACGTACCACGGCGTCCTGCTGGTGTTCCACCAGCTGGTGGACCTGGTCAGAGAGACTCGAGCACTGAGAAAGAGCGTGGCTAGGGTCAAGGGCATCGTCAGGACCGTGTCTGCCGTGTTTGGGAAGAAACGGGCCGAGTAGATGCAACACAGAGTCATGTCCAGTGATCCAAATGAGAAGAAGCCAGTAAGGACTTCCTGTCTGAGGCCTACTGCGGAGAGCCTGGATGAGCTGAAGAAGGTTGAAGGGACGATTCATAGATTGGAAGTTGATCACAAGAGATTTTGCAGATGTTTATTTTCAGGTTGAAGCAGAGCGGGAAGCATGTAGGAGCTATCATAGGCTAGGAGGAAGTTTGGTTCCTCAGAGGAGGAATCCTGGAGACTCTGATTCCAGACAATCCTGGTAATCCTGATCCTCAGAAGATAAGCCAGGACTCTGATGGTTCTAATGAATGTTCGGCCAGTCCTACCATCAAGTTTTGTTCTATTGTAATTATATTTTATAGAAATAAAATATAAACACCTTGAGGTTGGACCATGAAGAATTGGCCTGTAGGAGGCGCTAACAGATCCACACTCAGCTGAAGGTCCAAGAGTCCTCAGACAAACTAACAAGTGAGATGTTCCCAGATGTTTGATCTGTTTCATGGTGAAGTAGCTGAGCTGTTTCTAGAAACACCCTGAGATGGTCATTTCAGTCTGAGGAACATCTCCTGATGTTCAGGAGGAAGAATCGAGTCTGTTTCTAAAAAGTGACCGGTTGTCTTCTTCGTTTTTATGAAATGTTTTTATTGATTTTTTTCTGTTCTGCTGATACTTGGATTAAACGTTAAAAACAGAGGAACGTTTTGGTATTTGTTAAAGCAGAGCTGTATTTTTTGTGTTAAAGTTGTGAAGCAGCTCCTCATGTGGTGCAAAAGAAGAAACACCTGAATAAAGAAAATTCCAAATCTTAAAATCTTTATTTCATCACGCCTCTCAGTTGGATCCACACATGAATCAGATGATGGTGCAAAGTGCTGATGACAAAAAACAGTCAGATGATAAATGATTACTGAGTTTATTCAGAACTGAAGAAATCACTTCCTGGAACAGCCACAACGACTCAAACATCAAAACTTCCATAATGTCACGACTTTCTGTGGTAAAAGAATCGTTTCAGAAAATCTCATTAAATCAAACACAAAATACACTCAATGAATTATCTCGAGGCTAAAGCCTGTTAACAAATCTGAGATGTAGATTTTAGACCATTAGACTTCTTTCATATTCTGTAAGAAAAATGAAATATAGGATTTTGTATGAAATGTAAAAAGACTGAGTTTATATTCCTGTTATTCCAAAGAAAAATCAGCCCAGAGTTCAGGAAATCCACTCGTCTCCGAGACTGGAATTCTGCTTAGATGGAAAACCTACAAAGGCTTTTTCTGTGGTTAATAAACCGGCCAATCAGATGTGTTCTTGAGGCGTCGGGAGTCCCACATGGATGTGTTCTCGCCACTAGAAGAGTGAAATAAAACAGAGGATGCAATGGGTGAAGGGGCGGGGTCAGAGGCTGTGACTAAGAAGGGATCAGATCCAATTGCAACACGGCGTTTAAAAGTCATCTGTTGCTGCGACAATGGCGTCGTTGCCGGTAGAGTTGGGGCTCAGGTATTCAAAAGCCTTCTGGCTTTGGGACACAAACTGTTTGAGTGGAGTGAGCAGAAGCTCGGTAGCAGATGGCCTTCGGAAAGTGTTGCCTTCAGAAGATGGGGCCATACCTTCCACATCTGGATTGGATGACTCTTTCATGCTGGAGCGGCGGTCGTTGGGGGGCTCAGGACTTTGGGGACCAGAGCCTCGGTTGGCACGAGCATAGAGACTACGACGACGACGAGGACGGCCGTCCATTGCCTTGAGGAAGAGACTGTTTGTGGAACTACGACGGGATGAGCCATCTAACACAAAGTCCTCTTGGTTCAGGAAGTCCTCCAACTCCTGAGGTGACGGCAGCTCTAGCTGAAACACACAGGCACACCAGTCATGTCATGTGTTCATACTGACACCTGTACCTCTAGAATCTGAGGCACTCTTTTGTTCTTAGTTCCAAGTCGCAACAAGTCAGTATCAGGGTTAAAAAAAAACAGCTGGGATCCTCCGTTTGGTCTCTGGTTGCTGTTAACAGTCAAATCAGTCAATGATCCAGGCAGTGGATGTTGGTTATGACTGACTGCCCAGGTGGGAAGAGTCACCACCCTGCCATTGTGGCTGATAAATCATCAAACAGACTCAGGTCTACAATTGCTGTCACTAAGGTTTTATTTTGTCCCTTTTGCTGTCCCGTAGTTTTCAGATGTGCTGTTAGTTTGTGATGTGTTAGTTTGTGTTTCCCTCTCTGGACTCACCATGCTGTAAAGCGGTGTGGTGTTGACCACCAGCTGCAGGAGAATCTTGGAGAGTTCCTGCAGGTCTCGGAGAACCTGCTGGATCTGGTCCGGCAGCTCCCCAACCTGTCGGACCGGGATCAGCTCAGCCAATGTGCTGGCTCGGTCTTTGATCTCCCAAAGGGTGGTCTCTCTAATACTCTCTGCTCGGAACAACAGTGCCACCAGGAGGTTCTGCAGGTTCTGCAACAGCTCACCTGTCAGCTCCAGGATCCAGCTCAGACCCACCTGCAGGTAACAGAAAACTCAGGTGAGCTGCTTCCAGTTTTCACTCATGATTTTGTCTGTTATTAAGAACTATCACCAACCATCGGCAGGCAAAGGAGGGGTGCTGATGTTTTTTTCCTCGATGTTTGTGAATGGCCTGTATTTGATACGGTGTAGGATTCTACAACCCCCTAAGGCACTTTACAACGAAGTCAGTCAGTAACCCATGCACACACACACCTTCACACACGGGTGGCAATGAGCTAGTGAGTGTTTATCAGTAAATGTGTGTGTGTGTGTGTGTGTGTGTGTGTGTGTGTGTGCGTGCGTGCGTGCGTGCGTGCGTGTGTGTGTGTGTGTGTGTGTGGTTTCTGAATGGTGTGATTCTTACATCAATGATCATCTCACTCAGCTGAATCGAGAGTCATCACGCCGCTCTCTGACATGATCAAAGCTTCACAGCACTAAATCAACCAACTGGAACAAGACCAGCTTGTACACTTTCCTGTATGTTCGACCTTCTCAGAACCTTTTCCATTTTCCAGCCTCATATGTCCAAATGCTCTTGCTTCAGTCAGTCGCTTAGGCAAACACCTGGACGTGGGAGTGATTCAGAGAGCCCATGGAGCAAGACTTTCCTACTGCTTCAAGAAGATTCTGGTCCACCATCAGGTGCCTCAGGAGGGGAAAGCAGTGTGCCACCAACACTGTTTATAGTGGTGACTGTGTGCTGCTGACCTCTACTTGGGATGTTGTGGATCGGTGAGCAGAATACTTCAAAGACCTTCTCAATCCTACTAGCATGTCTTCCAGTGGGGAAGGGGAGTCTGGGTACTTTGGGTTGGGCTCTCCAATCTCTGGGGCCGAGGTCCCTGCGTTGGTCAAAAAACTCCTCGGTGGCAAGGCTCTGGGGGTGGATGAGATCCACCTGGAATTCCTGAAGACTCTGGATGTTGTAGGACTGTGTTGCCTGATGCAGCTCTGCAACATCGTGTGGACGTTGGGGGTAGTTCCACTGGATTGGCAGACTGGGGTTGTGGTCCTCCACAACCCTAGTTGTCTCTCAGCTGGTCAGTGTGATCCCCCTGTAGTTCACGAGTGTGAACTTCAGGGGGATCACACTCCTGAGCCTCCCTGGTAAGATCTGTTCAGGAGTTCTGGAGAGGAGGGTCCGGTGGCTTGTCAAACCTCAGATTCAGGAGGAACAATGTGGCTTTTGTCCTGGCCGTGGAACACTGGACCAGCTCTGTACCCTTATGGGGGTCCTGGAAGCTGCACAGGTGTTAGCCCAACAATCTACATGTGTTTTTAGGATTTGGAGAAGGCGTTCGACTGCGTCCCTCGAGCGAAAATCAGAGACTATGGTCTTGAATCTGAAAGAAAGTGTAGAATGCCTTCTCCAGGTCAGGGATGAGGTCCTGCCCCCAAGTGGAGGAGTTTAAGCATCTCGGGGTCTTGTTCACGAGTGAGGGAAAAATGGAGCATGAGCTCAATAGACAGGCTGGTGTGGCGTCTACAGTACTGCAGGCGTTGTACCGGTCTGTCGTGGTGAAGAGAGAGCTGAGCCGGAAGGCGAAACTCTTGATTTACCGGTTGATCTACATTCCTACTCTCACCTATGGTCACGAGTTTGGGTAGTGACCGAAAAAACGAGATTGCGGATACAAGCAGCCAAAAAAAGTTTTCTCTGCAGGGTGTCTCGGCTGTCCCTTAGAGATACGGTGAGAAACTCAGTCATCCGAAAGAAGCTCGAAAAAGACCAGGAGAAGACCTAAAGGAAGGCCCAGGACACGCTGGAAGGACTATGTCTCTCACCTGGCCAGGGAACGCCTTGGGATTCCCCCAGAGGAGCTGGCCAAGTGGGTGGGGAGACAGAAGTCTGGGCCTCTGCTTAGGCTACTGCCCCAGCAACCTGACTCCAGATAAGCGGCTGAAAATGGATGGATGGAATACGAAACTGTCATTTAGAAAAATGTCATGGCATTTGTTGATGGAAAATGAGTCTGACACCCCTGCTGTAACCTCTCCTAACTGATTTCTAAACAATTTTGTAAAGGTAAGAACATCTTTTTTCCTCTGGTTAAACAAAAATAGAGGCTTTATCATAATTTGTCAGAATTACAGAGATCATTCTCATTCAGCAAACTTTCTGTTGTTCTGATGGTCTGAACACGCCTGATCTGAGTCCAGTTGACAGCTGCTGGAGTTTCCCAGGAAACCCAGAGGAGAAGATCTGGACCAGAGCCGAGCCGGGGCTGGCAGCAGAACCCGACACGTGAGAACACAAAGAGCAAAACACTGCAGGAGGGGACCTTCAGGGGAGAACGCAGCAGGAGGTGTTTGCAGAAAGAATCAGGTCAGTGACCATTTCTGACAGGATGGAGAATAAATCCACAATTTAAGGTTTGGTTAAACATAAAATAACTTAATGTCTAACATTAGATTAGATTAGAGATTAGATTAGATTAGATTAGAGTAAAGTAGATTAGATTCCACATAAATAATTATTGTGTAATTTGAGATAAAACATTCCATCATTAATAAAGATAAAGGACAGCTGATCAGGTGATTTACTGACAGCCAGCAGGTTAAAGGTCAAAGGTCATGAGGATGGTTTGCTCCTCTCTGTTGTCTGAATACATCTGTTCTCAGATCAGTGCTGGGAACCTCCCCAGGGTCTCATCAGGTATTTGGGTCGAAGAGGCTACGGACCAGGACCTTTGACTCACTGACACACAATCAGATCGACACAATTCAATTCAATTCAATTCAAAGATACTTTATTAATTCAAGAGGGAAATTAGAGTTTCAGTACACACAATTCTGAGATCAGACATACATAGACATAGACACATGACAAGAATTGGTGACTGTTGTCATTTGCAACCCGAGTCGCGCTACTTTAATAGAGATCAGAGGGTTTATATGAGGATTGGTTCAGGTGGAGGACGAAAAAAGGAACTTCAGAGTTACCCTCCACAGGGAGGGCAGCTTTGCTATGCAAAAACATCTCAGACACGTGAGTAAACAAGGACACACACACACACACACACACACACACACACACACACACACACACACACACACACACACACACACACATACACAGAGGCAATGCAGCCTCATTAGTCTGAAAAACAAGAACTTGTTTCTGATATCAAAAACGTGATCATCTGGAACAATGAAGTTCCTGTTTGTGGGTTTGAAAAAGACCAGAGATCAGCAAGAAACCAAAAGCCCTGATGGAACTCTGATGGAGGCCTGACGAAGCTCAGATAGAGGCCTGATGGCGCTCTGATGGAGGCACAATGAAGCCAAGATTATGCTCTGATGCAGGCCTGATGGAGTCCTGAAGAAGCCCTGAAAGAGCTCTTATGGAGCTCTGATGGAGTCTGGATGAAGCCCTGATGAAGACCTGATGGAGCTCTGATGAAGCCCTGAAGAGGCTGTGATGGAGCCACAGTGATTGTGCAGAAATGTTTAGTCATCTTCATTCATCTGTTCAACTTTAACTGAATTTCAGAGGGAATAAATCTGGATGTTTTGTTTTAGAGCCTGACAAGGATCAGATGATTATTTTTTTCCACAAAAATTAAGCAGATTATTGTTATTATGATTGTATCTGAGGTTTCACTTGTTCCCCTTGTAGCAGCTGACTCAGACAGCTGTCAGTAGGGAAATTCCTGGGCTGGTTCCTAAAGAACCCAGAACCAGGTCTCTGCAGAAAATCAAACCATCATCAACTGATCTAAAGGGTTTAGAATGAAGGTGACTGGGCTCCTTTGGTTTCTTGGAGATGTTTCACTCTCACCCGAGGAGCCTTGTCAATTCTGACTGGAATATGGGCACAGTAACGCATGGACAAGAACATCAAGTTCACCTACTGTACAAACTGAACAGGATGGAAGTCTCAGCATTGAAGTCTACATGGAACTGATCCATACAGACCAGTATCTGCATTTTGACTCACATCACTCACTGAGCACAAAATATCAGTTTTCAAGTCTTTACACCATCAGGTTGAGAATATTCCCACAAAGACTGAAGGAAAGCAAAAGGAAGAAAAACACATCAAGAAAGCTCTCCAAAACTGCAGACACCCTAACTGGGCCTTTGTGAAATCAACAAAGAAGACTGGAAAAGCATCCAAAGCAACAACCAGCAAAGAAAAGGACAACAGACGCAAAGGCACAGTAATCCCACACATGGTAGGAATCTCAGAGAAACTTAAAAAGATTACCTTCAAACACAACATCCTGGTAAACTTTAAAGAGACAGTGTGTAGTTTTTAATCTTTAATTTCTGGAAACATCCATCAAAATGTTGTTTAAAATGAATGAAATGATTCCCCGCTGTTGAAAAATATTGGCGGCCTCATAACATATAACCATAAAAATCTGGTATAAAATACATAGGAGCGGGTCTAAGTCTCTGGGCGACGCCATATTGGACAGAATGTTTGCTTCTACGGGAGCCCACGAGGACAAAATGCATTTACTGATTTGTAACAAATGGTTACAAAACTTTCGTCATTCTTAAATGTTGCTGTTTTACACATTTACCTCTTCACTTGTTGCCAGTGATGAAAGGAAGTCTGATGTGCACGTTATTTTGCTTAAGTATAAGCTTCCCACTTCCCAGGGCTTTTTACTATATATATGCTCCCAACTGGTAAAATCATTAGACAGCATGGGATAAACTTCCACTGTTATGCTGACGATACGCAGTTATATTTATCCATTAACCCTGATGAACCTAATCGGTTGGGTAGATTACAGGCTTGTCTTGAGGACATAAAAAATTGGATGACTCTAAACTTTTTGCTTTTAAATCAAGACAAGACGGAAGTTCTCATCTTTGGACCAGAAATCCAGAAAAGGAAATTGCTTAGCCAATCACCTGACCTGAATGGCATTACATTGATCTCTGAGAACAAAGTAAGGAACCTTGGTGTTATCTTTGACCAGGACATGTCATTCAAATCCCAGGTTACACAGGTTTGCAGGATTTTCTTTTTCCAC